TCACGTCATCCCTGGTCTGGTCCTTGTGGCCGGGCCAGGGGTAGACCAGCCGTGGGGACAGTGCTACCGCAAGTTCCCCCCACAACCCCCCTGGGATAGGAACCCTGTAGACCCTCGGGGAGCGGAGGCTGCACTGGGGAGAGACCAGTGTGGTCCCCGAGGAGGACCCCTGGGATGACGTGAGTCCTAGGTCTGGGGCTCACGGGGACTCTGAACCACCTGGATGCGTCGTGTTGAGGGATCAGCAGGGCGATTGCCTCTGAACCACGACAAGGTCTAGATCTCGGAGCAACTTAAGAGGACTAACCTGAGATATCCTCATTATACGCCCAGATGACTGTAGATGTGGAGTTCCATACTACTTGGCTGCTTGACGCCACCAGAAGTACCGGACCAATCACTAGCGTCGCTACTCTGCCGCCCTAACGCTATTCTCAGCGTCTAACAGGAACTAGTGCACAGTTCCCTGCATTACTCCGTTGGAAATAAGGTTCTCACAGTGAAGAATTTTCCAAGATGCGCATGATTCTCAGCCAACAAGTACACTTGAAGTCATGTAGTGTACAGACTATTTCTCAGAAATTTAGGTGCCAAGTAAGCAATCTAAGGGCACAGTGTGGATCAAAGGGACCGGCAAAATCTCCTGGTACTCACTATTTTAGCGTTCATCAGGCTAAAAGTGAGTACTTGTTGTAAGCGAGTACTTGTTGTTGTTTTGAAGTTATTTAAAAAATTTTTGAGCAGCTGTTAGGAAAATTATCACATTATATCTTACTGAGGTTATTCACAGACTTTCTCTGCCATGATGATCCAAAGGTAATGTTGGCTGAATTTTGCATCGTGTCAATAACCTCGTCATCCGGGCAGTTGATTAGGGCGGTCGTCAACGGGCCGCAGCGCGTGCCAGGAACTATTTGCTTTTCCAGGCTAATTTAGTCATTTTTTTCCACCTTGTGAAGATAAGGAGCTGCTAATCTGGGAAAAAGTAGCCAAAACAGTGAAAAGTTGGAAAAATGACTAAATTAGCCTGGAAAAAGCAAATAGTTCCTGGCACGCGCTGCGGCCCGTTGACGACCGCCCTAATCAACTGCCCGGATGACGAGGGTAAGTGCTGCGAATCCGATTCAGCAACCTCCAGCAATAAAGAATGACAACTCGCTTCAGGTAGGCCGAGATCACCTACTACGGCGCGTACTGGTCCTTGGAGAACATATCCTCCCACATGGCCTGCGTGAACTGTGTCCTTAAAGGCACTTGGCACGACAATTTGGTATTTGGCCTAAAATGCTAGCAGGGCGCTATATAGTGGGGAAAATGGCGAAAAACGAAGTGAAACGGTCAAAAACCTGCGAAGAAAAGCCTTCGTTCTTAATGACTCAAAAAGCAATTTCGGACGAGTTTCCCGTAGGCATCTTGCCAATAACCGCTACGGTAGGTACGGCTGCACGTATGTACTCATATATCCATGCAGCACCGCGGCCGCTTCATATCAATCCCTTCGCTTCATATTTTACTTCGCAAATGAAGCAATACGAGCATCAGGTACGGTCGTCCATTTGTGGGCGGGCGGGCGTGGTGGGCGTTTGGGTCGGTATGTTGTGGCTTGATAGGGCCTTATAAGGGCACCTTCCTTGGAAAAGGCGCTACGCAGCGCCTGCTCAGGGTCGCGGAATTCCGTCCTGCCAGGCGTATTAATCCTACTCGTCTTAGGAGATTTATCGTGCCAACTGCCTTTAAGCCACGTGATAGCCAGATAACCGTCAGACATGTTTTAGATTCTTCATCGAAGTCGAATGTGTGGCGTAGCCTTGATAAATGTCAAATACACAAAACATAATGAATGATAAGATTTTCTTTCAATAATTTTACAAGCTCTCTTTCAATATTAGGTCCAACATATTTCGTCACACACACAAACATTATTACACCTAATATAAAACAAATGGCATACAACAGCCTATAAACACCTACTAGCAAAACAACGACACGTACCTAACGCTAATAATACAGTAACAATTACATAAACTTTACTTTTCTATATTTATTAATCTACATATTATGTTAACGAATTAAAATGCACACAAAATCGAGAATTCTTTGAAAAAAAGATGCCCTGCCATTAAATAAGCTTCAAATGCAGATGAGCTATTTATGTGGTAACAGTGAACGGACAGGCTGAACACGAAACAATGAAAATCGGCTGAAAAAGGTTAAGATGGGGGGCTACAGGTGCACGATCAGGAGTATGAATGGGAGAAGGTACGAAAATAGGGGCAGTCTTTACATGTTTGATTCCCCTCCTTTTTGGACGATTTGTCTGATTTTATTCCGCGTAGCATGAACCTTTAGGAGTAACTCGTCCGCAGTACGCGTGCAATTCGGAAGCATTCTGATAACCTTATCAAAGGTAGTCCTTGTAGTTCCCATCCTTTACGATTGCGAAACCGCACTTGAAGTGGGCGGAGCGACACTTTGGTGACCCGCCTTCTTCTCAGCAATACCCAGGAACAAGTGCAGTGTCAAAATCCTACTCGATTTTGAGATTTGCCAACTCGTCCAAATCGCTTGATCCACACTGTCCCTGCTCCCATCGATTTCCTGACGCTCATTTTCGTACAGTTGGAATAGGGACGTCGAAGGGGTGGGTCCGCGGACCTGGATTGTGAAAGCGGCGCCGATGGACAGTTGCCGGTTCAGGTAAAGAGGCGTGACAACCGTATTGACGCTTTCTTGTGCCTGAACCTAGGCAACAGTATACCGCTGCCACCCTCAGGCCCAATTAGCCTCCACACCTAGATAAAGCTCCAACCTACTTTGGGAACTTTCTGGCTCCCACATATCATATCGCTTACGACTGGTTCTCTAACTCTTCCAAAACTCGCATTAATCCTCCCAACCAGTAGGAAATCCCTGTAGTACATTTAAGAGATTTACAGTAGGGCATTTAGAATGGGCAGTTGAAACTAATAATTACTAGTTAAGTACCGGCTTAGAACATCAATCACTGAAGACTGCATACATGATTAGTTCTCTCAAAAAATAAAATATCGCTGCTTACAGATCAGTGGTGCAGGTCATTCAAAATTTCGTCAAAATGGGTAGATAAGGGGTCGTTAACGATCAGAAGTACGGTAGGTGGTTCGGTAAAGTATAAGGTCATTCTTGTAACGTCACATAACTATTTTGCTCCTCTTTGACACGATCCTCTCCATAAGAGAGGAGTTCTTCGAGTTTTCGGGCACGTTCCTCTTCAGCTAGCTTCTCACGTTCAAGTTCCTCGGCCTCAAGTCGGAGACGTTCCTCTTCGGCTTTTCGCCTCTTTTCGGCTTCTTCGGCTTCACGAGCTGCTCGCGCTGCCTCGTCCTTCTTTCGCTTCTCTTCGGCTCGCTTCACTCGAGTAACAATCGCTGCGATCAATGCCGCTCCCTTGCCGCTGCCATCACCAGTCTGGACCACTTTGAACTGAAAAGGACCATTTTACAAGATAAAAATCTGCAAATTAATAGCGAATTCAATAATGGATGAAGTAAATTAGCTGTTCTATGAAAACTTAAGTACAAAATCGGGCGCTGTTCGGGTCCGTAGGGGCATTTTACTGCTTGCTATTGATCATTGCCGATGCCTCCTGTGAGACCCGTAAACTCTTGTGAAGCTATTTAGTAGCACAAGATTCGTCAGCGCTTCACAGGAGCCTACAATAGGTACCAACAGGAAATTCTTGAAAAAATTAGTGAACTATAAAATACTTTTTCCTAAGTAAAACAGCACCCACAGTTGCAACTATATTAAATGAAACTGTGAAAAACTTTATAAAAGCACCCTTGCTAATTTCACTCACTCACGAATTAAATCAGACTGAATTAAAAAGCCTTTAACATATTTGCATTAAACGTTCCCGGAACTCAGAAGGGCGGCTATACCTCAGAAAATAAAATTTCTTTGGATTTGGAAAGAATTTTTAAAAAATGAGAGAAGCCAGTATAAAATGAAGCACTTTTCACCTCGAGTCCGGGATCGATGAGCTCCTTGATTTTGTCGACAACCCAGTGATCGAAGAAAGGATGATACTTATAGGTACTGCCATCAATTGCAACCACCATTTTCGGTCGGCGTACTCGGTTCAGCACACAGGTGATTGCTAAATATTATGAATGAGAGATTATAGAGAGCCTTCCTCATAGAGTCACAGAGAGAAAGATCCAGTGGCCGGAATGGGCGAAAACGTGGGGATCTGCTGTAAGGATATCCCTAACCTGCAGCACTGAGATTAGCACTTCGTCGTGACACCACTAGACAAACTTCTCGGAACAGTAACATATCGGAGAATGTGTAATCGTCGATATTCAACTCGTCCATAATTTGCCTCGTATTCGAATACGATCCACAGTCATCACTAAACAAACAACAAAAATTGAATAGAATTACTATTAACACACTGCTGTAC